CCAAGATGCAATCTTGAGTATGGTCAAGGGGCTTTTTCGTTTATTGCACCAGCATCGTGGAATTCTCTCTCAGAATATATGAGGAGGTGCAAGTCGATGACCACTTTTAAATATAAGCCAAAGACTTTTATTTTTTTAAGCGAATTTTTAGTTGATGTATTAAATATTTTGGTAATATGGCTTAGACCTTCCTTTTAAATGTATTTTAATTTATATTCTATTCTTAATTATTCTGTTTTTTCATTTTCAACATTTTACAGCGCTGTCAGTTGGATACTTCGTAGAAACGGCGCGACATAACTTCTTTATATTATCAATATCATGTTATGAGGGGGGGTTACCCCTTTCCTTCTTTTATGCAGAAAATTAGTGACAGTTTGCCAATGTAGCGGGAATTGTCGTTGTTTAAGTCAGCTAAAACTTCTCTTTCAGGTGAATGGAACGTTAAAAATCACGGCCAGGGAAGTTAGAAAGGAGGAAAAAGAGAGCAAAGTTTTGGCTCAAACTTACTTGGATCTTGTTCTCAGTAGCATTTCTACAGTGGCGGTTGTACTTTGCTTGATAGTACTTTTCTACTTAAGGTGCTTAGTTCCATCATCTAGAAAAGTGACCAATGCGCTCATTAATTCGGAGGTTCGACATCCCCTCGGACAACCCACGGGCATTTGACTGTTTTCGGGGGGGGTGGGGAATTTGAACCTTGCCTGGATGAGGTGGGGCATTTGAACCAGAAGTGTTAAATCTCTCTAACGTAATATACGTGTTTCAGTCAGTGGAGGAGTTTAAAGGTAAAGAGCCTGCTTATAAAAACAATTCTTACATCCTGGAATGATGCTGACCAGCCGAACTTTGAAATGTGCATACGCTTTGGTCTGCTAGTAACCGACTATATAGGTAACAGAGTGATCTCTTTTGTAACACAGGATAAAAAACTCCGAAAGGATATTTGTTCATAAAAACCTTTTGATCTCCATATGCCTGGTTTACATCTTGATGATCTTGGACTCGTATATTTTTACGAACAGGAAGGAGACGCCGGTGAGTGTTTCTGATTCTCGTGTTTACTGATTAAACTTAAAAAAAATAAATCCCCACTTAAGGGCTGCACGCGATGGCTCTAGCAGGGTCGGAAAAAGCCGTCGAGCTCAGTATATGCCCCCGCGAGATGCGAGGATGAATAAAAAAAATACAACTTAGGGACAAGAAGGAGAGCGGTCCCATGATGAAATGCGTATTGACTGGAAAGGTCGGGTCAGACAGAAAAAATATTTGGCTCTAGTGGGTCATGCCGTACGGACCAGGCACGGTAGTCCGCTCAGTCAATAAGAACACAGTGTTTCCTAATAAGGTTGTAGCAAATCTTGTAGTAGCCTATACTTCAAGATTTGATTGACTTGTTTTTCACCTTGAGCTACCTAGAGTAATATATATAATTTGGATATATCAACAAAGTTGAAATGGTAAATTGGCCACCGTAACGATTACAAAAGCTGACGTTTCGAGCGTTAGCCCTTCGTCGAATCAAATGGAATCTACAATCTCTTCGCTCCGACGAAGGGCTAACGCTCGAAACGTCAGCTTTTGTAATCGTTACGGTGGCCAATTAACCATTTCAACTTTGTTGATATATCCAAATTATTTCGTTACTCCCACCGACGCAGCCCCAAACAGTTTCTTTCGAAACTATCAGCCTTTAGAGTAATATATGGCTGTTGGTTTTAAATATCGAGGCATTTCTTTCTTTCCTTTTTTTATTCTTTATGATATTGTAGAAATTATGTTCAGCTATGGCTATCCTCCAACATATAACACACACCGCCATTTTCACATGGATGTTGGTGGAAGGAATTCATCTGTACATCAAGCTGGTGAAAGTGTTTTCAGTCCACAAGCTCTACATCACATACGTTGTCATCGGGTGGGGTAAGGCTCTGTTGACAGTTTTATTGTATCTCTTGGTCAGTGCTTGTACTATTGTACGTGCACGATAATTGGTCAATTAAGGGGACCGCATCTTATTGTACGGTCAGCTAATTGAATTGAAATCTCCCCCTCTTTTTGAATGGAACCCATAATAAACATCTTATGATAGACATTTTACCAACCTGGTTTTTTTGGTCCGCACGGGAGTTATGAAACCTCGTGTTTCCCGCTCGGGTTTATGGCTCGCCCACCTCGCGTTTGGACCATAGTAATAATAATAATTATAATAATCAACTTTATTTAAAGAGGGTAAAACACATAACAGTATAAAACTGACAAACCAGTGGCCCTCTTAAAATATATTACAAATAATTATTGAAAAAGATTAAAAACTAATCAATTATGGAAAAAGATCAAGAGCTAAAAATCTAAAATTACAAAGTTTCTAAAAACTATAAGATAAAATGTTCTTATGTCCAGTGGTAAGGTATTCCAGAGGCGTGAGGTCGATACTGTGAAAGACCTACCTCCCTCTAACTCCCGTTTGAATTGGGGACAGACGAGGTTTAGTTGTCCATGTCTGCTTGATCTTTCATTTATGTCTGCATTTCTTACGAGTATTTGGGACATATAAGGTGGACAGTCCCCAGACAATCGTTTGTACACCATAAATCCGAACGGAAAAAAACTCGGTCCGCAACTACTAGTAATGTAGTGCTATTCGTGACTTCTCTCTTTCCGTGGTGTTTAAAACTAATTTCTCTGCCAGTCTAACTGTTTTGTCTGCTTTACGAACGTAATTTTGGAGGCGCAGTGACCACATGGTCAGTGCGCTCGTCTCCGGATCGAGTGGTCCGGGTTTGGGCCCTGGCCGGGGACATTGAGTTGCGTTGTTAGGTAAGACACTCTACTGTCACAGTGGCTCTCTTCATCGAGGTAGGGTTAGGGTTTAAGTCACGTATCGGCGAATATAATACTGGGGGCAACCCTGCGATGGATTAGCATCCCATCTAGGAGGGAATAGAATTACTCCCAGTCCCTTAACGCAACAGAAACCGGAGTTAACCGCCGGCCTGGTGGGCCTCTTGGCTCGTAAACAGACTTGACTTTAAGAATGTGATTTTATAAACTCAAAAACCCAAAGAAAGGACAGCGTAGCTCGGCAGTAGCAATGTTTTTGAAGGATACCTCTTTTCGAGATGCTTGGGTGTAGATTCACTTTCAACCTGAGTGTCTTATAAAAGCATGGATTATACCGGGAAGGAAACTTTTGTTTATGACCAGATTAACCTATAACCAGAGATGCTTTTAGCTTGAATTTCACAGCATACCAATCCTCTTTTACCACAGGTTTACCAGTTGCTATTGTGGGTCTGATAGCAGCCATCAGACCCGAGACATATGATATGAGTAAGACATACTACGAGGACGTCATGTGTGGGTCACTGAAACTTCCCGCGGAGATCATACGTGACAGGTTGGTATAATGTGTCAATTTTCAACAGTCTACCCCTGGGAAAGCCCCCCGTGCATTTGAGCTTTAGAAGGTAATTTCTTTCAAATTCCCGCCCCTCGGAGCCAAAATTGTGTTCAAATGCCCTACCTCAGTGCGGGATTTGATAGTCAAGAGACGACATTCAAATTCCAGTGGATTTCCCGGGGGGGGGGGATGTTGAAGTTTGAGATGATCAGCACATAATCCTCCAACCACCAAGATTACGACTTTGAACTCTTTCTTCCAGCTGCCAAACTTTTCCTGGTAAATAGCTCAAGAGAATTTGTTGTTATACCAGGATAACATCTCGTAACCTGTATGTTTGCCAATGCGTAAACCTTTCATTCCCAAAATCTCATCTGCAGTCCTCCTTACTCTCTGCCATACAATTTTGATTTTGTTACCTTCACAAACTCCTCTCAAACAATTTTTCTATTGCTGGATTTTCTTTTTCCTTTTTTTGCAGCAAAACGGAAAGTTATAGTTGAATATGCAAAATACATCGATCTGGTTTCCTTTTCCTCTCTTAAACATGTTAGAATATTTTAATCTTTCCAAGGTGCTGGCTTCATGACGGGGAATGGCTGTATAAAGGACCAATCTTGGCAATTCTCGTGGTAAGTTCAACTTTTTTTTCCCACATCAAGTTTGAATTCAATGTTTGGAATTCCTGCCTTAGGGACCAGTGATATATCTGGGAGGGGTGGGGGGGAGGTCGGTGGAGGATTTTAGGTGGAACACAAGATTTTCAGGGGAGGTGGGATCAGTCGTCGCCAAACGAGGGGGAGGGGGGGAGAATGAGAGAATGAGAATATTACAGAGTTAGGAGGGTCAGGTAAATTTATAAGGACACAATGAAAATTCTCTGACGTCCCCCAAAGGCGATAATAATTAAATGACTATGAATAGCCTAATATATGTTTCTTTTGAGTTCTCGTCGAACTCTTGTGATAGTTTCCTTTGTTCTGGCACGCCGTTTCGACTTAAGCGGATGGGTTCTGTTTTTGTGACTCTTAATCAAAAGACATTCTAACTAAGAGCTCTTTCTGTTCTTTAAACAACCGATCAGACACGTTACGTGGATCATCAGAATGTGTTTTTAAGGTGAAATATTCTTCCATTTTTTTCATTTCTAGGTCAATCTTGTGATATTTGTAGTTCTGCTGAGAGTGATTTTCACCAAGATATCGCAAAAATATCAGACTGATAAAGTAAAGAAGACCAGGCAAGTTTCTTCTATTATTTTCTTGTTACTGTTTCATTTTAGTGGTTTGCTTACGATCGTGTATTAAAATCAGATTTGTATTGTAGATGTGACTTTTTTAATCAACAACCTCTTAAACTTAGAGGCTGTTAACTAAGATACTCGCTAAAGGTTAATAGAAAGTGGCAAATGTGTTATCTCCTATAGGCGCACAATGTAGAATATGCTGTTTAGAAGTATTTTGAATTGTCTATTGGTCACATGTGTTTCTATGGTGACGGTCCACTTAGTGTGCTGGACTGTGGATCTAGAGGTCTGGGATCGAGACCTGACCGTGTCACTTTGTTGTGCTCATGGGACATATACGTAACTCTTACGGAGCCTCTCTCCTCCCAGGGACTTCAAGAAAACTTGACGAATTGCAAGGGAAGGGGTTGGGGGGTAACCCACAATAGACCGTCCTGTTGAAGGAGCAATGCTCTTCTACGTTCTGTTATAAGAGAAATTTGGATAAACTCCAGAAGTGGTGAATCCCTGTCTCTTAAGGGGTATTGTTCAGTGACCCTCTTGGGGAGCATCACTCACTCAATCAATCAATCAATCAATTAATTAATTAAGTTTATAGTCTTTACATGAGGCATAGTTACCCAGATTGCCCAAGCCAGAGGTTCATGTATGAAACGCAAGACAGCAACCCACCTATCCCACCCCAGGGTAGGACATCCATCACACAGTAATCTCGTGCGTGGAAATTAACGTCTCCTACCCTTAACCCTGCAGGAGACAGGACCTCCATTCATTCGTCCCTATCCGAGAAGACTAGAGTATCTAACCATTTCTTGATGTTATAGAAAGGGCGGTATATTCTTCTCAATCATTTTAAGGCCTCGAGTGTTGATCCGGCCGGGGCTCGAACCCTCGACCTCCCGCACAACAGTCCAGCGCTCTATCCATTGAGCTAACCGGAAGGCAGTTTAAATTTGAAAAAAAAAAACCCTTATTTACCCTCAGCAGTGTTATAGCATACAAGTGATTATTTATTTATTTATTACAGGTTCACTCCACTAGAATACGCAACAAATAATATAAATTACAATTAAGGCTATAAAAAACCATAAAAGGATAAATTGTGGAGACAGGGGACAACCAAAAGCGCCGACGCACCATACACGGGATGCCCCCCCTGATTAAAGTATAGCGAAACTATATAGAAGTATAAAAATAGATGTCCTAATTATCCTTATCCTTAATAAAACTTAAAAGATTATTCTTAAAAGTTTCAATACTATCTGATTCTCTAATGTGATTAGGTAAGCTATTCCATTCACCAACGATACGGTTAAAAAAATTATATTTAAGACCGTTAGTTCTATTAGAATTTGGGACAAGGTCCTTTGTGTCATTTTTCCTCAAATTATAGGCCATGCTTCTGTCCTTAAAAAATATGAGCTTATTGGAAATGTCTATGTCATAATGGCCATTAATTACATTGAACAAAAACGTAACATCCCTAATGAACCTCCTATCAGATAATAGCAACAATTTCAATTTAGATAGTCTAGTACCGTAATCATTGTCAGACCTAGTGATCCATCTGGTAGCTCTTCGCTGAACAGCCTCCAATTTGTCAATGTTACGTTTAGTAAATGGGTTCCAAGTTTCACATAAATATTCCAATAAGGGTCTCTCAAGACTACAAAAAAGTGTTCTTATGGTGTCAATATCATTTAAGTCCCTACAAGTCCTTTTTACCAACCCTAAAACCCTATTGGCCTTAGCAGCTATTCTATCTTTATGCTGGTTCCATGAGAGACCACTAGCAGTGAACAATCCTAAATCTTTATAAACATTAACACATTCCAAAGGTTGACCCTCAATGTTATACTCCCCAACTAAGGGTGCCTTTTTCCTGGTTATTCGCATGATATTACATTTCTTAGTAATAATTGTCATCTTGTTCATCTTGCACCAATCTGATATTTTATCTATGTCACTTTTGAAAAGAGGACAGATCTTCTTGAGTATTAATAACCCAATACATTTTGCTATCATCAGCATATGATGCAATTGAGCTGTTCTTACTAATTACCCCTAGTAAATCATTGATGTATATTATGAAGAATAATGGTCCCAACAAAGAACCGTGTGGTAGACCAGAGGTTACGGTTAACCAATCGGAAGCCTCTCTCTTAACTACTACACGCTGCTGACGTTCTGTCAAATACTGCCTACACCAATTGAGCAAGTCCCCGTGGACTCCATATTTGTAAAGCTTGGCTAAAAGAATATCATGATAGACAAGGTCAAAGGCCTTTGAAAAGTCTATAAATACTACATCGACTTGGCCACTCTTTTCCAAAACTTTGAACCAATCATGATGTACCAAGAGTAGTTGTGTAGTGTAGCTACGACCAGTGAGGAATACGTGATGGGAATCGTGCACAAAACTGATAACTTGATTGTAAATAGCATTATACACAATTCTTTCCTGGCATTTCCCGATGATGGATAGGAGCGAAATGCCTCTATAATTTTCCACAGGCTCACGATCACCATGTTTATGAATAGGTGTGATATTAGCTGATTTCCATAATTTAGGTAGACAGCACTGTTTGAATGATAAACTGAAAAGCATACTCAGAGGGACTGCAGATGTATCAGCAGTCTCTTTGAGTAAACGAGCAGGTATATTGTCAATCCCACAAGACTTATTAGCATTAAGACCTTTGAGAAGTTTTCCAATTTCTTTAGTGTCACAAGCCACATGGTTGGTAATGACATCAGTACTTGCATCTTGTAAGTTAGTTTGTATTAGGGCTGGTTTCCCAGTGCTCTTTTTAAAAAAAACTGAGTGAAAGTGATTGATAAATCTGATGCA